GTTGAATTTTGAGTGAATTACATTTTTAATGCATTGTTTTTAAAAACAATGGAGTTTGGTTGGAGGAAAAGCAAATCAATCCACACTTAATTCAAATTTTATGAATTGCAAATTCACCCAATTCAAACGAATTTAAAGTAAAGATAACAAGTTTGCAAGATCTCAACTCCACCAAAGACATTGTATGTGTGTATACAAAGATAAGACCACGCTTGATTGTTTTTTTTGGTTGTTCATTATTGTATCTCTTTTCCTATTGCTCAGTTTGGGATCCATTTTGCCTTTTAAATGTAATTTTAAACGAAACAACATTATAAAGCAATATATTTGAAATAGATATCTCGTTTGAATAAAAACCTTTCTTGCAATTTTTTACAAAAATGAAAAGCAAAAATAACTAGTCAAGTAAAAGAATTAATGGTCCTAGAGGTAGGTACACAACAACATCATCATTTTTATTATCATTTTCATGGTTTTCAGGCTGCCTGAATGTCATTGGAGAAGCAAATCTCTAAGCTGCACATTTTTGTTCTGATTACATTTGACTGTTTTGTTTGCTTACTTTGGCTACGGAAGTCGAACAAATTCCTCAACCTGGACAAATCCTCTGCAATCAACGATGACAATGGAAAACATGAAGGCAGTGCTAGGATTGTCAGAGGCAATAGGAAGACGATAGAAGGATACAACAAGGAATACCTGATTTGCCCTTGTGATGAGGTTTTAGTTTTTTTGACTTTTCACATTCAAAGACTATTTGGTTGGAAATAGGATTTAGTAAATCATGCAAATCCGGAATTATCAAGTTCTAAGATGATTAAATCCTGAAAACTGTTTGATATGTTAGTAAAGACTGCTTGCCATTTTAAAAAGATTTAGTAAAATATATCACGATTTATTGAACATCCAAAAATAAATATTAAAGATAAAATATAAATGAGTATTCAAAGCCTAAAAAAATGCATAAAAAAGAGGCATTTACATTAATTAATGATTAATTTTTAAACTAATTACTTATTAATCAACAATCTAAAATTAATTAATTACTAATTATTTAAATTTAAAAATTAATTAGAATTTTATTAAATAATTTTAAAATTAAAATTTTATGCATTAATTAAAATTAAATAATTACATATTAATTAATTTATTTATAAATAATTTGATAGTGTACAAATTGTTTATTAATTAATAATCAATTAAAATAATAAAATTTTGTTAAATAAAAATAAATCAAAATCATAAATCAATCTTTCTACTTCTCTCCGAAGAAAAAATTTTGCATCCAGCATCTTTCGATAATCGGAACGCGATTCAGAACACCGGAACGGAGGAAGGTCCTCGCGATCTGGAAACGGCGACGACGGAAAGGGAGCAAGCCGTGCTCTCAAAAGAAGCCTTAACCCTAGCCGCTTTTGACGGCACCGACGACCTAGAAACTCGTAATACTCTGTTTCAGTTTCAGCACTCATCTCTTCCATCACAAGAGGCTCAAATCTTACTAGCTTGAAAGCGAAGTCACGTTATTAGGCGTTGACGCCTTGATAATGACGGACTGGGCGGTGACGCATAAGCTATGGGAGAAATGGATCGTTAATAACGTTGGCGCATCTGGTTTGTTCCGCACTCTGCATCGCCATATTTCACCTTCGTCTCCTCTATCTCTTTGAAATGGAGAGCTGAGGCTATTTTTCCGGTCATTGGCCCAGGGGAACCGCTGAAGGCTGCCTTACTGATTAACTACGATCCCGCTGCTCCATCGAGGCTTGTATCTTTCATGTAAGCAAACGACGCACTTAAATTGCATGTCTTTGGACGAGTTTCTTTTTTCTCAAACTTTCGTGCTCTTTCCGTCTGCACACTACTTTACAGTTCTGAATGTAAGTGCAACGCTATATCTTTCGGTACTAATAAATAGTTTTTTTTTGTAATGTGAAAAAGTCAACTTAACTTAGAAATTTTGGAGGGTATTGCATTACTCTTATCTCAGTAAAAAAGATGAAAATGGTAAATGGGCTCTTTTGCAACAAGCAGAATTTAATAAATTTATCTAGTCTGAATTTAGTCGATCTAGTGGATGTGATATTCATTAAAATTATTTTCTTTGACATAGTTTATTAAATCTTGCAACTGTTTTGCTATCTTTTTTGGGATTTAAATTTTTGTGAGATATAACATTAAAATGATACTATTGATGCTAGAGGCATTAGTGGGGTAATTAACTGCAACACAGGAGCAGGGACGGTCGATTCAGGTCCTAGGAACTCAAAAAAAGGAAAGTGGTATTGGAGAAATTGGGACGAGGGAGAGGGAACCCACCACATTGAGGATTCCAAACATGGAAGAGAGAGAGAGATAGGATCATGATGAGTGGTAAGGAGAGTTGGGTTATGGAAACTACGCGGGGTTTTGATTTGATAAACTACAGATGTTTGATTTCTTATCAAATTTAGTAACACGCACAAAATGAGATTGAACAGATATCAGTTTTGCCAAGTTCTAGTTAGAATTATACACCAAACAACACCAAAATATGTATGGCATGTTTGGTTTGATGAATTTTGCTTGAATTACATTTTCAACCCACATTTAATTCAAATTTGATAAATTGCAAATTCACCCAATTCAGGCAAATTTAAAATAAAGGCATCATGTTCATAAGATCTCTGCTCCATCAAAGGCATTGTATGTGTGTATAAAATCTTCCTCTGCTTCACTCTCACTCATACTCACCGATCGGTAGTAGTCACCGCTTGTTCGCTCGCCCTTATTGGCAATCCTACTCGTAACATCCCTTAATGTATTTTAAAGCAATATCCCATTTTTATTTTCTTATAATCAAACATGAATGTATGATATCTAGAATTTATTTTTACAATGAACCATACAACTTTGACTTTTTTAAATATAATATAGTTATTTTACATCATATATGAAATGCTTGTGAATTCTATATACTTGGAAACTAAACAACCTCTTAGTAGAAAGTTATGGCTGAATGGTTTGGCCCTACTAAATTGTTATTATTCTATTAATTTCATGTTGTGATTGTTCGGCAGCTGGTTTTAGCTAAATAATTTTGGTCTTTTAGGCTCCTCTCCTTTTTAATTCATATAGAAATTATATTTTGTGAATCCTTAGAAGTTAAGGAGTTTACTTGGGAATTGTGTATTAGGAAATGGGCGGATTTACCATATAGATTCAGGTGGACATGTTTAGTTCAAGTGAATGCTTTTTGTTAAAGTTGAGCTTTATCCTATGTCAAGATTGTTTAATTTGGCTCAATACTAATGCAATGCAATGTAAATCTCCAAGTGAGTGTAATAGGCTTGATCACATTTTCATTCCAATAGATTTTAAGAAAATATACAATGAAATAAGGTTTCTTTGTTTTTCCTTCCCAGATCAATCACAAAATGTTGCTTTACAAATAATGTTAGTTCACGTTTTCCCCTAACAAAAAATCTCATGTTTTGTCTAAGAATTAGTCTACGTGTTCCAACCAAGTTTCTAGTATCTACCAGTTTTGTCTCATCTTTGCTTTGAAACAAGGATCCTACTGTATTTCCTCTTAAGATATTTTATTTCATCAAAGGTTAAGTTAATTTTTTTTTTTTTCTTTTCTTTCAAATCAGTATCTACCAAAAGTATCTACCAAAGTTAAATGCAACACTCGAAACTTATGTTTGAATATATGTATGATGAAGTGCAAGAATCTGACATCTATTTGGGTGCCTGTTTGTAATTCTAATTTCATAAGCATTTTAATGTTTTGTATAGAAAAAGAAACTGTCTTGCTTGTTGTTCAAACGAGAAAAGTGTTAAATTTGTCTCCTAACTCTTTTTAGTGGTCATTTTAGTCCCAAAATCAATAAAAATGTCAATTTAGTCCCCATTTTTTTTAATGAGGGCTAAAATTGTCCTTCTTAGGGACTACTTCAGCATATATTAAAAAACTTTGTGGGCTAATTTGACATTTTTAGACTTGAAACTAAAATGGCCCTATGTAAATAATCAGATGCATATTTTGACATTTTGCTCTTTTTCAAACTAGTGGTTTGTTTTTCCAATTGTACTAAACCTTCGACATTGCCAACTGTCAAGTAACAAGATTTTTCATTGATTGTGTGAAAATGTAATATCATGATGTTAATAGATGTTAATGAAGGACTTGAGGCTGTTCGACTTAAAGTTCTATAATGATTCTTAGTACCCGTTCACATTTATTGTTGTTATCTTTTTAGCTACTTTCGAGTTAATTGTCATATGAACTGTAAATGAAACATTCCACCTAATCAAACTTCACAAATTTCTTGAAAGATCATTCAAAAACTTGCATGTTGCATTTGACCACCATGTCCATTTTATTAGAACTGTGATTCCTCATTATTCAACGGGGATTGGAGCTGAGATTGTAACATTCAATTTGAGCATTATGTCATTATCAGGAGGCTAACCTGGTAAATGAGGAACGAAACTCCTCTTTCCAAAGCCATAAGACTTTAACATCTTGGGAAGCAAAACCAAAGACGAGATTGAGAGACAAAGAGATCGATTGAGGGTTCAAATCTTTTAAATTAGGGATTTGAAGTTTTCTAGGGAAAGGCGATGCCACTTATAAAGAGTAGCATCCTGCGTCTTAGGAACCAAATGAGCAAGGAAGGACAATGCTTGCAAGAAGTAGATGCTAAGGAGGTGACATCGATACCTTGCGTGTGTGTTCTATGCAAAGGAGAAGATGAGGCAAATCATGAGTGAGTAAATGAGGATAAAGCAGTGGGATGCGAGCTCTTATGCTAAATTTCTCACAAGCTTGCACATCGATCGTGCCTCAACATCGAGCAGGGAGTACGTAAGAGGAAGTTGACGTCAACCGGAAGCGAGTTGATAGAATGGCATTTGCGGCTTGGCTTTGGAATTGAAACCTGCTTGCAAGCAACACGTGAGGAAGAAGGAAACTGTGAGGTTAGTTCTTTTTTTGTAGTAAGATATATATATAT